TCCTAGAGTCTGGAATGTCAATAACTTGAAGAAGTTTTACCCTTAATAAAATTCTTTCAAGAGATCTATGTCTTGCTGTTCTTTACGCTTCTCACTTCGTGTTAGTTGAGATTCATTTTACCTTTTATTCTATATATCTGAGGTCAATCAGTTCATTTATTCCTTGAACCTCATTTTTGTTAATAAATGTCACTTCACATTTGAAGTGCTTTATCTTCCCTCAATTCATTTACAGTGATATACTTGGTATTAATTCACTTGAAGTGGTTTACTTCTTTAGAGTTCGTTTCTGAAGTGATTAACTTCTTTTTATTAACTATCCTTTTTAAAGGTAGCCTCAGTTCTTCTATCAATATATAATAATAAGCAGGAAAACATAAATAAACACATAATTTCAAAAATGAATTTTCATTCAGAATAACATAAATATTACAAACTGTTTAACTGTCTTTACAAAAAATCAAAAAACAAAATTATTTCTCTGATGGGAGAGGTGGCTCCACTGGCTCCTGCTCAGTTGGAGGAGGTGGCTGAGTTGGCTGCTACTCGTCCGGCAGAGGAGGCTGCTCATCGTCAGAAGGAACTGGATGAATCTCCACTTCTAGAACTGGTTGGATCTCACCCACTTCAGTTCCCTCCACTCCTGCCTCCATCTTGTCTTCCTCTACCTCTGCCCCTTCTTCCTCCACTGCAACGAACTCGAAGTCGAACTGTGGAGGAAAAACAGTAAGACCGTCTGCATCATCCTCCCACCTCAGCTTAATCTGAGGACGGAAGTCTGCTGACATGCTCTCGCCATCCTCCTCCACTCCTCCTTCTTGCTCGCCGAAGGTGACCTTTGTCACATCCACTTCGGGATATTCAGCCTTCACCTTCTTTCTGCAGTCTGTGAAAACAATGATGGCAGTGGGCAGCCGGTACAAGTTGACGATGCTATCAAAGGAGCTGGAATTGATGAAGTTGTTGATATGCTCCTTCATCCCATTATGCACCAACTTCCGCATGTTCCCCTTCAGCTCTTTGAATGCCTCCGTCATCAGCTTCATTTCTTGCGCCTGAGCCTCACGCTCGCTTTCAACGATCCTTCGTTTGCTCTCCTCAAAAGTGAGCTTGGTGCTCAGGGAAGCCCTCTCCTGCTCCAACTGTGAAACAGTTGGAACCACCTCGTTCAGAGACTCTTGCAGCTCCTTATTTTTCTTCTCCAACTCCTCCTTCTCCTTTTGCAGCTGGTC